CGCGAAATGAGGCGAAAGTACACCCGATGCGAGGAATAGTCCCGAAACATGGACTTTGGCACCCGAAATGGCCTATAGCTATACCAAACATGCACAATATGGACATGGAATGTAAAGACAGAAGCAAGATAAATATATCAACAATTCAATGGGTGAGTGATTTAAATTATCCAACTACACCTCCAATTTCATGAATTTAACCAAATTCCCCAATTTCCCTTAAATTAATTATACAAATTAATTAATTTAAACAACTAGGGTTTTTCCCAAAATTATCAAAGTAACCCCAATTTATCAAAATACCAAAACTTATAACAAAACTTATAAAATAGAGTAGGAAATCCCTACCTTGAAGAAAATAACCCGAATGGAGAAGACGAAGATGAAGACTCAAATTCCAAAGTGCTCCAGACCAAAGATTGTTCAGATTAAATGGAAGCCCTCGACCCACTCTATCTTTTTAACAAAGGACTTAGGGTAGAAATACAATCCAAGTAGATCAAACCTAAGAGAGAAGGTGTGTAGGGAGAGGGAGAAGACGGTTCTAGGGTTTTAAAATCAAAAAAGAGATGAAAAATGACCCAGAAAGTCGGATCTCGGATTTTTATACCAGTCGCCCCGCTCGAGCGTGGAAACCCCCGCTCGAGCGCCACTCACAGACTCCCGCTCGAGCGGCGAATGCACACTCCCAGAAGTTTTTGCAGACAGGTCCCCGCTCGAGCACCTAACTCCCCGCTCGAGCGTAACTCACGACTTCCCGCTCGAGCGTCTAATCCCCCGCTCGAGCGGCCAACACTACACAGGACATACTGGATGGGTGTATTCCCCGCTCGAGCGTCCAGACCCCCGCTCGAGCGGACAAGCCAAAATCTGGGCAACTAGACTTGATTCCTAAGCTCAACCAACCTGCTCCAAATCTTCCCAACACAACCCAAGACTCAAAATAAGGATTAAAGGGTGCAAACAACATACTCTCAACAACCAGCTTCACGGAACCCAAGTCTGTATATAACAAGTAAAGAAAAGGGAAACCGGAATCGCTATAAATTTGAGTAAAAATTTTGAGTAAATGCTCCCTTTAATATCAAGTGTTCCAACATAGGGTTTTGTAGCTTCATCAAATCACCGGTCGACTGGGCGGACGACCGACCAGTTTAATTTTTCACGAAGTTTTGTCTTGAGGTGGTCATTCGAGGTAAGGCTGAGCAAGGAATCCGTAAAATCCGTAATCCGATCCGGTCCAGTCCAATCCGATAGGTTCGGATTGGTTTTTTGAATCCGTGGTTCGGTTCCGGATTGGAAAATTCAAAATCCGTAGGCCACGGATCGGTTCCGGATTGAACCTCACGGTTCCGGATTGGAACCGATCTGGACTATCTAGAAATAATCTATATTTTTATACTATATACCTTCCCACACCATATAATTTCTTATATGATATAAAAACTAAAATGTAAACCTAATCCAGCAGCCTCACCTTTACGCCTCTCACTCTCATCTCATCTCAGGTCTCTATTCTATATCGATGGTGTCTGTCTCTCTTCTCTTTCCCATCTCAAACTGAGTTTTCTCTCTCTCACTCTCATCCATCTCAGATCAGATCGGTGTGCTACTGCTCTCTCTCCGTCGGTGAGCTCTCTCTCTCTCTCTCTCTCGGTGTTCTCATCTCTCATCTCTCTCTCTCGGATCGGTGACTATTTTTGTTTATTTGTTCCCAGATCTCCATCTCAGATTAGATCGATCTATAGTTGTTGTCTTCCTCTTTCGGTGAGCTCCTCTCTCTCTCTCTTTCTCTCTCTCTCTCTCTTTCTAACACTCTGAAATAGGTTTAATCTCTAACACTCTGAAATAGGTTCCCAGATCATCCATCGCAGATTAGATCGATTGTTCATGTCATCTACAATGGATTCAGTGAATGTAAGTAGGAGATTTTTTTTTTCTGTTTTTATTTTTATTTTTATTTTTATTTTTATTGTGTTTTATGTTTACATTATGTTTTTATTTTTATTTTTATTATGTTTTTTAGATCGATTGTTTTTTTTTCTGTTTGTATTTCTATTTTATGTTTTTTTTTTTTTTTTCTGATTTCATCTCTGTTTTGTATTTCTATTTTCTGTTGTTGTTTGTAACCATTGATGCACAAATCAGTGTTTATGGAAATTAAACTAGTTAGAAACATTGATTGGTTCTACTTCAAAGCACAAAAGTGTCGAAGATGTCTAGGATTTAAAGCCTGAAAGAGCTTGAGTTGATGTCCAGGATTTCTGACCTCTCGGAGCTTATTTTTTATTTCTGCTTTTTAATGTGTTTTTTGTTGATGGGTTTTCATTTTTAACGCTATTCAATCCAGTTTCAAGACTCAAATTTTTTTTTTGTCTGATACTTTCATCGAATACCTGGGCTGCATAATTTGTTGATGTTTGAAATTTTTTCTCTACTGCATTGTGTGAGCGTCTTTGCCATAAAATTTAATGGTTTCAGAGTGTGTTTCTGTGTTAATTGGAAGATCCAGTTGCATATTGAATGTTTTTATTGATGGGTTTTCCTTCATGTTGTAATTTTATTTGATCCAGTTTGAAAGCTTTTAGTTTTTTTATTTTTATTTTTTGTTCTTGCATCAAATACTTGGACTGTGTTGAGCTTTGAAAATGTTTCTGTAGAGCATTGTGTGAGAAATTTATTTCTTTCGTCACTATTTCTGTATATTTTCGTTTAGGGTTCAAAAAGCTCAGACCCGTACTGAACACAACATCATTGTGAAACGGAATTGCTAGAAATGAAAAACTTCGATTGTTTTGGTTCTGATCAAAATCTGATATTTGGGACGTTGATGTGGTGGCCTAGAGTTGCAATGGTTGGAATCGGAATAGGAAGGAGGACTGAACATCAAATTTGTGCCATGCCTACCATCTATTCGTTAAAATGTTTGTATGGAGAGGTCAGTATATTGGGTTGCTTTCGTGTAGTTTTTGGGTGTTTTGCATATAGTTGGGTGTTTTGTGGGTTTTTAGCATATGATTTTGAAAGGTGTTCTCTTGTTATGTTCTGCGTCATCTTCTCTTTGCTGATAACAAGAAAGAAAAAAAAAATTGAAAGACTAGCCTAAGTAATTTATGTGATTATAACCTATGTTATATGCATTCTCAAAATAAATCAAATATTTTTGTTCAACATTGGACAATGTTGTGTGATATGGGTTTAATAAACTCTTCTTAGGGCATCTTTGCATCAATTTTTTTAACAAATTTGAGTAAAAATTTTGAGTAAAAGCTCCCTTTAACATCAAGTGTTCCAACATAGGGTTTTGTAGCTTCATCAAATCACCGGTCGACTGGGCGGACGACCGGCCAGTTTAATTTTTCACGAAGTTTTGTCTTGAGGTGGTCATTCGAGGTAGGGCTGAGCAAGGAATCCGTAATGGATGATGTTTGCTTAGAATGGAGGATGTTTGCTCCAGTTTATAATGGAATGGATGTTGTTTACTTGGAATGGGTGTTGTTTTTACTTATATTGTTTACAGGTTTACAGGAATGGAGTTGCTATTGGAATGGAAATGCTAGTGGCATAGGATGTTTATAGGTTTTCAGTTTATGGAAATGCTAGTGGAATAGAATGGAAATGCTAGTGAAATGAAAGTTTAATTTGGAATGGTTTACAGTTTATAATTTGAAATGAAAATGTAATGTCTATATTTTTTTTGTTATTTAATTATTTAAATCCGTGGTCCTAATGTGCTCAACATATCATTAAATATGGGAGTAACAAGGACAATCCTCTTTGGTAGCTTTTTCCTTTGTTTAGAAATTAGTAAAGCATAAGACTTAAAATCAACAATAATGATTATTATAATCACTGTGTATTTGTAATAATATGATTTTACTGACATAATGCACCCAAGTTGGTCTAAGACTATGAGAACTGAGAAGATGATTGTCAATTGATGTATTTCAATCATTAGAATTCTGTTAGGACTTGTGATTGCTTTAGTTGTATGTATTGCTGTTTTCTATTTTAAATTTTTTTTTTTATATATAGAATTTTAGGGATAAACTCTTGGGCTGAAGTTTTTACTATATGGGCTAGGGTAGTTTCATATGGTAACTACGTATTATTAGGGCCTCTTACGAGAAAATGAGATGATGCCTTTGAAAAGGAATTAAAATTGAAATATTTGGAAGAGATGCGCTCTTCTTCTCTCTGCTTCTTGGCTTTTTTTCTTCTATGTTAAATTAAATCTCTTTACTCTCTTTCTTCTCATATTTTTATCTTCTCTTCCTCCCTCATCTCTTATTTGTATCTTCTCTCTGTCCCAGGCTGTCTTTTGGGTTTCCAAGTCTGAGAAGTTGAAGGTATTTTAAAATGGTTTTTGGTTCAAGCTTCCTACCCATGACCGACCGTGAACTTGTTAAAACAATAGATTTACACCCACAACCGAACCACAGCACATGCAAAACTGTCCGTAGCTCGTCGGGTGGGTTCGGATTGGACGGTTTGCCGGGTCTCCAGGTTAGATGAACAGCCCTACTTTTTTATCATTGCTTTTTTTCTAGGCAATGCTTGTACGATTTTTCTTATTCTTTTTTTCTTCCTTTTTTTTTTTTTTTTGTTGTTGTTGGTATGCATGTATGTCAGGTTAAAGAAGAACAAGTGCAACTTCAAATGCAATGGTAAAACCTTAGGTAATTGATATATTTGCATCAGGAGTAAAACAGTTGTTTAAGTAGATCATATAATACCATGTGAAATGGTAGTAGATAGGTATTTGTCAATCATTTTGATAATGAGAAATTTTGAAGACTTTTTTGATGTGATTTGTGTTAGTGGAATGATCATTTGGTACTGGTAGTGATATCAAGAAATTTATCAAAGTGATAAATGTTGGGGATATTTTGGCTTTTGTTTGTGAGTTTTGATTTATTTTTAGTTTATTTGTGTTATGTGGGAAGTGTAAGTAGTTGAATTGTTTGTTTGTTTTTTTTAAATTCTCAGTGATAAATGTACTAAGTTATTGTATGAACAGTACAAAACTAAGTTATTTGTAGCCACTGCAAGTACCAGTTAATGCATTATTTACCAAGCTGATATATATATACTTTAATTCTCGTTGTTTTTATGACTACAAGTTGCATCATGCAATTTTGGATTTTTATTTTTATATTTTTTTAAACCTGTTTTCATTATTCATATTGATCATCAAGCCATCCAAATTTTCCCTTGTATGCAGAATGGCAGTGCTGCTCCAAAGTCACGCATTCCTCAAATGGTTGCTCAAACACTGGGTTTTGGCCAAAACCTGCTGCTGCTGGTGATAGTAATTGCACCCCCCAACAAAAAAAAAAAAAAAAA